GCCTGAGCTACATGTGCCAGGATTGGTCCTCTGAGGAGAATCATAGAAGTGACCTGTGTTGGACGACTTGCATACTTAGTGGGTCCAGCTGTTAATTCAATTCAATTCATATTTATATAGTGTGCTGCAATCCGTTGCTACAACATACAGCTCTGGAAAACATGAAGAGACCACTCTATATGTTTTAAAAAATCTGCATTTTTAAATCCTGGTTTAATCCTGGTTCTGCTAGCAGAAGGCTAGATTGAGCAGCAGGCTGCTTCCAGGCTCAAAATTTCTAAGATGGAACACAAGAACAAGGTGAAGCAGGAGACACTGGGAACAACCAGAAACTAGCCAGGCAAAGGGGATACGTGACTTTCTAATGCCAAAGATGACAATTAACTTATCTGAGAATTTCTTATGAATCATAGGATGACATCAAGTTACCTTCAAAAGGAATGGGAAACATTAAGTGCAGGTGTGAAGTGCACTGTTAGGACAGTTCGTATCAGGCTCCTAAAAGAAGGACTGAAGTCCCATGAAGCGAGGAAGAAGCCCTTTGTTAATGAGAAACCGAGAAGAACCAGGCTGCAGCTTGCAATATACATATATTATTCACAGACACACACCCATAAATTGAGAAATGACTGAAACAAAAAATTGTGTTGTGATCTCTTAAATTTTTCCGCAGCCATATATATAGAATCATACAAAAATAGGGAAAAGGGGAGACAGAAAGAATGAATGAAAGAAAGAAAGTCAAATGAGAACAAATATGGAGAGAAAAAAATTTCTGGGGGTATAAGGTCAACTGGCTGACCAACCCCCCCAGGGCACGCTAACATTATGGAAAAAAGAAAGAATGGACCTACTTGTTAAAAGCGAAGTGTGAGCTGAAGTAACTGCTACAGCCAAAGCCCATCAATGATTCGGTTCTCCAGGCCGGCCTGTGTGATTTGGCAGATTGAAGGCTTCACCCACAATGCTACGGTTCATAAATCACATCTACAATGTCACGCTTCCACGCTGTGTCATCTTCCAGATCCTGGCGTTGACCCCTCCACTCCACTTAGAAGACCATGAAGCTTCTCGCAGCAAGAGCCAGTTCTCCGCAAAGACATCCTGAATATGGTGTGATCGATCCATGCGATTTGAACGATGGACACCAAATAACAGTGGTGCACTTGGCCCCGTTCATTCCCTTGACTTGCATGCTGAGAGGGATGGAGGGAGAGAAAGGCAATTGGACGTCACGTTGGTCATGTGACGGCCAGGCCCTCCCACACCATGCGGCACAGCTGGGCTCCCAGTGCCTGGGCTCCACTTGAGCCCGGTTGGCCGCTGGACATGGGCCTTTCCTGCCGTACGATTCACTGGTGTCCTTTTATGGAGCACTCATACATTTTTTTTAAACTCCCCCCCACGAATTAGCGTTTCCCGCGTAGCTGAGAGGAAGAGTTTCCAAAGCGTTCACCCTGCGGGGGAAGGGATGGTCGCAACGGGTGTTATTGAGGTTTGGTGCAGGGGGTTCCATTGCTGTGGTTTCTTTTGGGGGGGGGGGGGTGAGTATTTTTATTTCTTGGAAAACAAGTGTGCAGTGGTAACCCTTCCCCATGTACCACATGTTGGTGAGGATGTCTGTGTAAACATAGACTGAGGAAGGCCTTCATATTGGATTAAATGATCTTGCGCCCCCCCCCCCATTTTGCCCTGATGTTCATTGTGGTTCATTCTGGTATCTGCAAGCAGTGTTTCAAAAAATAAAATACCACAGTCCACTTATATAAAACCAACAGAGCCCCAGAGGGCACAGAATTCAGATCAGCTCAGTTCATCCAAGGTCTCTCTCTGAATCAACGGTCGGCAACTTTTATCGTCGCCACAAGCCTAACCCCCCCCCCCCCACCACCATGGCTGACAAGTTTCACCATCACCACCTGCCAAACACGTAGCTCCAGAGATTATTTTCCATGCAGAAGTAATTCTTTCTGTAAATAAGGTTGGAGACCCCTGTTCTAAATTCTCACTACATTTTTTTGTTGTGTAGACACTGGTCCTAGTGTGTAGATGCACCTGCACCGTACCAGGTCCGATCCACTTTTATCTCCAGAACCACTTAAAATGTAGATGAGTGGTGTGTTTAGAGAAACCTTTCTGCACACCACTGTAGTATTGGCCTGTTTTTTTTCCACTTGTGACCTTCCTGTTAGTTTTAAAGAACCTGGCCATTCTCCTCTGACCACTCTCACTGACAAGGTGTTTTCGTCAACAGAACTGCCAATGGCTGTTTTTTTTCGTTCCTCACAGACTATAGTATGTGAAAATCCCAGCATGGTGGCTGTGTTTGAAATTCTAGAGCCACCAACCACATCTGGCTCCTAGAATCACACCACGTTTAAATTCGCTTAGATCACACAATTTAGCCATTATAATGCATAGCAAAGAGTAACTGAACATCTTGACCCTGCCTGCTTGCTGTATGTATTCCCCGTGAGCCACTCTGCTTACCGAAGTCTCTTAAATGCAAATAATTTATAAATGGCAGATTACATTTTTCTCTTGCATTTTATTTAATTTGATCAGTTGGTTAGTGGGTGTACACTAGTAGCCAACTGTGGAAACACCTAGCATTTTTGGCATTACGCTTTAAAAATTACTACATGAATATTGACAGTAATGTTTATAAACAGGAATGTTATAAATATTGTACATTGGATGATTAAAATAAGTAACTGGAGCAAGAGTTGAATAAAGTTCTGCAATCTCTAAAAACTGGAAGCGTTTCCACAATTTTGGCTCCTAAGGTACAAAGTGGATCGTGAGTCTTTACAAATAGGACCTGAAACAATGAATATGTGTGGTACAAATAAACAGTTTATTGCAGCAAGCCTTGTCATAGCATTCTGTAACTGAGATTCTATTCTATAATTGGGATTCTGTCCTGTAATGGAGATTCTTTTGTCAATTGCCTACATTGCCTACCCCTAGTCAGTACCGATACATTTCATTCATGAGATAATTTTCCAATTCCTGATTGGCCGCTGATTCTGCATGGTCGTTTTCTACTATAGACAAAGCAATATGTATGTCTATCATTCAAGGCCTTGCACCCATGCTGTGCTCTAGATGGGTGACCAAGCACCAGAAAGGTCACTGGGCCTGTTGATTCGTAGGGAATAGTGTGGCCTGGTTTATCTTGTTGTCAGAAGATCCCTATACTCCTGTCTACCCACGGATTGAAAACAGCTTCACCGCCCACTCCAGTTCTGCTCTAATGGCTTGTACCAGACATACTTGGATACATTAGACATGAAAAAACAGCACTTAGTGCTGGAAATGTTTTATCTTGACATAAGAAGCAATGTTTGCTGTTATTCTTTTAGTGCAGGGCCTGGTACAGGGACTGCGTTTAGACGGACAGGTAGAATGAAGTTGATGAAAGAGCGCAGCTTGGAGCAGATGCAAATGGAACAGGATAGCGTCTGGTCTCAGATGAAAGCCCCGAAGAGGCTTCCATTGCCATAACGATGAGGTCTTCTTCAAAAACATAAACAGATGATAATACATATATTGGGGAATTATCTTCCTCTGTGATTATTTCGAGTAACATCCCTCTAATGTCCGGGGTGAATTTTGTCTTTCGATTTTTCCGCCGCTTTGTCTGTTTTAAATCTGGGATATCATTCACCAGTCCGGACCTTTCTCTGGGCAAATGTCTGCCTTTCTTTCATTCGGCCTTCCTTTTAAGGAGGTGTCATATTTTAACGTTTTGGAAGAAAGGGTTTTTCGAGTCCCTGCATGGAAATTACATACCGGGGATCTTTAGATGGATTTTCTGACCCAGTCGCTGGGACAGGATGGGCAAATGATGGCATTCAACATCTTAAAAGGACTGGCACAATGTTCTGTGAACCTCAATGTAGATAAATACCAGTAAACTGAAATTCGTGTATGGAAATCATTTTAAAGAAGAATTTGAAGCCTGCTACTTCTACTCCCAGCATATCTGAACAAGAATAAATGTATGGACAAATACGTTGTAATATGGTCCACATTGACTGGATTTATATGATTTATTGGGTAAATGATCAAATACAGACCAGGAAGGTAAAATAAATGGTCGGCCAGGCATGAGTATATACACAGTGTCTTCTTTTGTTTTTAAATATCTGTTGTGTAAGTTACGATCGGGCACAGCAAGTGAATGTGTGTTTGTGTCATGAAGAGTTTGTTTAGGATTTTTTTGTCGGGTTGGTGTGGATCGGAAACTCGGATGTAAACATACGGGAGAGAAGAACCAGGCTGGGATCTGTCTCCTGCCTCCCTGGGCAGACACGCTGGCCCTGGCTGCCAAGCTCCATACCTTGTGTCTGCTGGGAGGCTCTTCCTGTCACCCCGGCATCCATTCCAGGGCTCCTCTCGGCACAGCCTTCTTCGGTTTAATGGGGCCGAAACTGGTTTCAGTATTTAGAATCAGTAATGACGCGTCTTTGCTGCCTGGGAAATTAAAATGATTAATTGAAAATTCTGCTTGGCTACAGAAGTATTTTCAGCCTTGGAAAAGATGGGCAATAAAGCACACCTGCCACTAGAGGTGGAAAATTCAGGTCCAGAAAGTACAAATCCAGACCAAGGTTTTGTTTCAACCAACCAGCAGAGTACTCTGTGACTGTGATTATACTCAACTGGTTGGCTGAAAGAAAAACTTGGTCTGGATTTGTACTTTCTGGACCTGAATTTTCCAACTCTACCTTCCACAGCTGGTGATTCCCGGGAACAGTTCAAATCTCCTAACATGCATTTAGATCCTACCTCTTTGCCAATAGGTTGCTTTATAAAGACTATCAAAAGAAAAGACCTTCAGCAATTGGGAGGATTTGGAGTTTGCTAGTCGGCATTGACTGTCTCCGACTTACGGAAGTTTGAGCTGCTGATGGCTGAGCCTTCAGAGCTTGCAGACCCTCTGAGGTCCTGCTAGCAATGTGCTCACCTCTCTATTCTCTTTGCTGTCCCTGCAGATTCCTCATGCTGTCACCATGCTGCAGAATTGTCACCTTGCAGAGAAGCCTGCGAGCAGGTAAGCCATGGGGAGACTCAAGCCTGCAGGGTGGGTTGGGGGGGGGGCTTCTCTCGGAGCCTTAGGGCCAGCTGAAGCTGGAAAGTACATCAATAATACCGAAACGCTGATTTCTACCTTGGAGGTGTACATCTCAGACTGCCACCTGAACCCCAGTATCTTCAAAAAGAATTACTCTTGAGAATTCCCTAAACGTAACTAACTTTTAAAGTTTTTTTTTTTGTAATTCATCCAGTCTGTGCAAGGAAAAACCTAGTAATAGTAATAGTGACTGTTTATGGCCTTTTTCCCATGATGAATAGTAGAGTGGATCGTTACAGAAGCCAACCATAAATGATTTTCTCGCACTTGGCTGGTTGAGTTGCACCATCGAGGTTCACGTCAGGGAAAGGCAAGCTGCCAGTAGCTGGTGACGTGCAGGAGGGAAGCGTGCAGCTTCACTGCATCCGTGGTCCATTAAGCTGCAGCGAGAAGGGCAGCGCAGTGAGGAGCCAGCTGCAGTGAGTGCTGAGGTGTGACCATGAGTTCCCGTGGAAGGTTCTGGTTAGGTTGTTTGATGAGAACATCGATGATGCCTCTGTTCTCAAGTGAGCCTGCTTTTCTCTCTCTCTCTCTCTCTCTCTCTCATTATTTTTCCCTCTCTCTCCCTCTTCAATCATCCGGAAGACTTTCATAGATTCCTATCAATCAGTCTGCCTCCCCCCCCGCAGCAAACAGGCACATTAACATGGTCAGAGGTCCCCTTTTTAGTGGAGGGTCCTGGGCTGCACTCTGGGTAAAGCCCCTACAGTAAAACACCCCTGTCGCACGGCGGCAGCCTTGTGACCCCTCCCTCATCGCCCAGAGCCAGGGCGGTCTCCACCCCCTGCCATGACCTGCCGGGGAGCATCAAAGCTAGTCCTGTTAGCCTTCACAGAAACCTGGGGCCGGAACGCTGACCTCGCGTTATCGCCGTCCATTTACATCCCAGAGGGACCATTCCTTCCAAACAGACAGTGCCATCTTCCACGATTCAAGGCCACTCATCTGTATCTCAGCAGATCTTTTTTTTTCCCTCAGCAGACATGTGATAAATAGCCAGCATTGGCTGTTACTCTTTGTGGAACAAACTGAGGTTTTTTTGCAATGTTCTGAAAATCTTTCTGACTGATCACCAAGAAATTATTGCCTCTGGGATTTTTACGATAAATCCTGTAGGGCTGTACAATTGTGCGATTCATTTGTAATTTTTGACCTTTGATGGATAAAGACATAGGAGGGTTTTTGATCTATTCCAGGTACTTCTGATCAGGAATTTAAGCACTCTCAACATGAAGGTGTCTCCTGTCTTGGCTTCCTGTGCATCTTCTGCTTCATATCGTCTGCAGAAGCATGGCATGACATGCATATTCGCCGTATCCCACGTTGCTGTACACTCCACTACACTTTGCTGATTCATCGTATCCCAACTGACTGGATATGAACCAACGGGACAGTTTTCACACTGGGAATAGGCCGAGAGATATTCCAGAATGTGCAGTTAATTTTCATAGCTGTGAATGGGGTTTTTACTGGTCCGTCGCTTAAAGCTTCATGTGGCCATTGTACTGGACGGCTTCCACACCGCTTTGGCGAGACCGCTGACGTCCCCTAATGGAGACTAACAGGGATTTATGATATCATTAAGAAATGTAATAGGATTGCAAAGGAAAAGAAAAATGAACAGGAGAAGCTGAGAAGAGGAGAAAAGATACCGCACCATTGCAGTGTTACCTAGGGCATCATAAACACTCCTGTTTCCTCCTAAATCATCGAGCCTTTGGGGAGGGCGGTCACTCCCTCAGTTGTCACTCGTCACACTCTGCCTCCAAATTCTGATTGGGCTGTTCTCCCGCCCTACTGTGGCCCTAACAGCTCAACCAGGCCCAGCTGGGTTTCAGTACCTGGGGAACTTGTTAGTGCAGGACTAGTGATCCAGTTAACCCATCTCAACCATTTATCTGCCTCCTATTATCTGTAAATGCCAACTGGATGATGACTGAAATTTTCTAACATTCATCATGCTTCTCTTATGACTTCCAGCTGCCTCTGATAAAAAGTGAATCGCGTTTGAAACACCTTCTCCAGCGATTACCCAGCTATTGCCCCGAGTCTATGGTAAGCACCTTACAATGACACATTGGTTATTGACAAAGGTTAGTGTTTGTTGTCATATGAGGGTATGTATGCAATACTGTAATACGCAAAGGGATTGATCATTGATTTGAAAGCCTATCCGTCGTTTGCAAAACTCAACATATTCATTAGTACAGCAAAATATTAAAGGTGGCTTCCATGCAAGTTTGACAGTTCCCAGCCCATTTACCACTAATTATAAGCCTATTACCTTGTGCAGCTTTTAATTTATAACAGTAGACAATCTATTAAAACCACATTGCAATTAGAGAGCAAATCAATGGCTTTTATTTTCTTTGGCCCAATCACATCATCCAGTCTCGCTGGCCGAAAAGGATTCTTTCTATAGTTTTTAGAGCGTTGCAGCCCATTCCAGGAAACCTTGAGTACCCCCTCCCCCCACCCAGATGGGTCTCACACGGCTGCCTCAAATTGCAGAATGTAATTTTCCTGGAGAGTGGTGTGAAAGTCTTGTAACAGGATTTTTAGAGAGCAGTGCTTGGCTTGTGCCTTGCTGGGTCCCTGATCCTCTTGAACTGCATCCTATACCTCATGTAAATCATTTTCCTTGGAGTCCTGGCAACGATGGTGTCTTGATACAGTTCTTCTTTTCGTGTGCCAGGTGGCATTAAAGGCCATTTTGATGCTTCGTAAAATAAATTTCAAGCAATATTCCGTCCATTTCGTTAGCTGTCATGCACAGATTTGCCTTATAGTATAGATCTGCTTTGAACTAATTTGGTGTGCTGTCCTCACGGTACCAGTCCTCGATGTTTTTAGTAAATGTCTTCTTTTTATTATTATAATCACTAGTGCTTTATCTGTGTAAAATATTATCAGCTGATACTGTTTATAGCCTCTTTTTGATTCTTTTGCTGTAGCACTGCACACTGGAGTTGTGCGTTTTTGAGGCCACAAGGTGGCGTACTGTAACTGGGAAGCAGTTGTATGGGGATGGCATCTTCAAATGTCTTGAATTCTTCAGGCGAACTTGAACTTGTTTTTGTTGTTTCAACAGCATGAACTTTGGATCTGCATCAACTCCACGTTGCCAGGTAAGGTTGTTTCTGAACGAACCACCAAGAGATATGCGTTATATATATATATATATATATATATTGACCCAAGCAACTTTCATAATAAAATTACTAGAACTTCAAAAGGTGACCTTTTGGTGCCCGGTCAAAGTCCCCAGTCACTAATCACAACGTTATGCTTTGATAAAAGTCAAAGGAGGATAAATGTGAAATCGAACACTCTTCATCGCTCATAGGGGCGTCCAGGAAGTTGGACAGTTGGGTGGGCCTTGGATGCTGTGAGCTGGCCATCTCTGCAGACTGTCGCCGTCAGTGCACACTGGTAAGGCCTATCGGGCCCAAGGAGTGACATCACAGAGGACTGAAGGACACCCATGGCCCAATTTTGTGTTCATCTTAAAGGAATTTGTATCTAAATTAAAAATTAATGACCTTCCCATTTTCTCAGTCGAAAAAATGCATTTTAATACAGTACATCTAACCTAACAAACATCATAGCCTAGCCTAGCCTACCTTAAACATGCTTAGAAGACTTACATTAGCCTACCGTTGGGCAGAATCATTAACGCAAAGCATATTTTATAATAAAATGTTGAATATCTCACACGATTTATTGAATAACAATACCCATCGTAAAGGACCATCATAATCTGGGGAGAGTCGGTATATATCTTCATAGACTGGTACCCAAGTGCATGCTAATGGCCCTTACACTGTCTGCGTATCCACTGTCTATGA